TGAACCCTGTATCACAAAGATTTCGATTATGTGCTTTTGCTTCTAAAAAATCATGACGTCCTCGAGGCAAAGTGCATATTGCTTTTGGACATATTTGCGACACATGTTCTTCTATGGAGATGCAAATAGTTTTTCACTTTATTTCGACACCCTTCGTACTGTTGGGGGTGATCTGTCGTCTTGTCGCAGGATGTCGCAAAAGTCTCCGGCCGAACGCTATTACGCTTTTTGTTCATAACCTTTTTTCTTAGTGAAGCGAAATTTGGACACGTTTCCTTTATAATACTATTTGACTGAAAAGCAGCAATATCCACGTAATAATGAAAGGTGCTTGTTGCGGTAGCAGACTTCGCTGAAGCAGAGTTAGCGACATTTGTAGTTATTCGCATCTTACCTTTCCAACCGCGCGTTTTTCTCATCTATTATGTTCGACATTTGCGCTCGTACACTCAAGACATCGCAAAAAGGAAAGAAGTTCCAGAAGGATCATCATCCGCATTTTCAGTTGGCTTTGAGTTGAAGCTCTTAAGTATATCTGGAAGATGATCTGATAGCAGGTTAGTAGTGGTAAACATTCTTAATGCACCCATGCTACACATATCGAAAGTTTAGTCGATTAGATCCAGTAAGAAGGAGTTATGACTAAAAGTGCTGCTGAAGAAGCACTCGGCAGAAGACTTTTGAGCGCTACTGTACAGGGAGTTTATTGAAGGTGATGAATCCAATGGTGGTGTTGGATCGAAATTGCTTGGCTGCTTATCCTGTTAATACCAATTCGATGGTGATCTTATATTTATGAAACGCGCTCTACGATTATGAGAGCGATACAAATAATGAATATATGCACGAAACTTATTGTCTTCCGCCACATGGTTGCTCGTAAATGGAAGTCAGCATACTCGGAAAAAAGCTTTGCAGTCGAAGAGGAGTGCCCAAAGGGGTTTCGATCTGTTTCTTCCTAGAAGATGTCGAATACTAATAGGAATGGAAGCCCTCACAGAACAACTACATGACCCTGATAATTCTTCCAACCATACTCAAGCCCTTCGTGTTGAATAAAATCGATACCCCCTAAGTGCATCTTCTAACTACTTTGTAAAGGTAAGAAAAGAGGCCCGTCGTAAGCAGAGAAGAGCAGGAGGGTGGCCGATCTTACATGTGCCTAAAGACGGGACGGATCTAGCCTAAGAAGGACTGGTAAGAAGGAAATGTAACAAGAGCTAGCTTTTGCATGACACTAGCTTTATCGTAATCATAGTTTTGCGAAAATTTTGCGTTCTTTCTACTTGTTTTTTTCTGTAATGCTACAATCTGTAGCTATAATTCTACACTAATCACTTCATTTCGGAAATCTTCGATCCAGACTTTTGGAGGAGGTTTTACGATGGTGTCGCCTGTGAAGGCAAAATAAAATCGAAAATGAGCTGGTTCAGATAGGAACCAAATCACGTCAAGCATTTAAGACCATGTACAAGGTGTCCCAAAATTATGGGCGCCGAAATTCAAAAAGTTCTATGGCAGAAGTAATTCGTCAAATTCACTTCACCCATTATTGACTAGTCGCACGAGAAAGTTTCCTTGCAATGTACGTGGTTGCTGAAGCGAAACTCTTTTTATATTTTAGATGGCCGAGGCTCATTCAGTGCCATTTGCAATCATTGGCGTGTGAGGGGCGGGAGGGCATTATGGAATCATTTAGGATTCCTATATTATCCTTACAGAAGATTATCAAACGACATAGGAAAGAAAATTAATCAAAGACAAGCCAGGAATGGATAAAAAAGGGTTTCCAAAGGTAGGTAGAACTATCATAATGGTTCGTTTCCGTGTCGATTGTGATCTTGAGTGACCCATCAAAAAGACGACAAAGAGCAACA